GGGCAAATTTTTCCCCGAGGGGGCCTTTTTCCCCCAAAAAAGGGAAGGTTTTTTTGAACCCCCCCCCCCCCCCCCCCCCCCCCCCGGCTACGGGCCTGCTACTGAATAACATTATGAAGATCATATAGCTGAAATGACACTGAAAGCCTAAGGCAAGTGCCCCAGGCCCAACCATAGTCTGAAGTTGATTGCTGTATTATGATGTAATATGAATTTTACCTAAGAATGCAGTGATTTCATATAATATTGAGAAAAATGTAAGATGTGGCAATTTTGTGATTTTATTTATGGATTTACCTGATATAGCGAAATTATGAAACTACAAAAGTAGCTTTTTCTCAGCATTACTATAATTAAAGCTGTCTGAATGCTTGAAAGATGCATATTTGTATCAACTATTATTTTGTTATACGAGCGAGTCAAAGCGGAAAATGCAGTTAAATGGGTCCCCCCCCCCCCCCTAAATCCGCCACTGATTTGTACTTCATGATCATCACCAAGAGAGCCAATCTCTAGTAGAGAGTAGAAGAGATACGTTTCACTTTAATGCAAATGCGAACCCGAACATTCGGCGATTTTTCTTCTGTAAGATTATTAAAATATGTATTGCCCGCTCATCACTTGTTCATTTGGTGAATATAAAAAGCACAAAGAACGACCTCTGTTATAACATACTGATGTTTTAATTTGGGGCATATTAGTTTCCAGAGAGAGAGAGAGAGAGAGAGAGAGAGAGAGAGGTATTTCATCTTTTGCGGGTATTCGTTTCTTAAGACATTTTAATTAACAATAATTTCTTTTATGCATATTATTTAAGTATATTTTTGCCAGTTATTTGATCGTATGATGTAATGAAAAAGCACATAACACGGCCTTTTAAATTGTGTACTAGTGTTTTAATTTGTGCGATATTACTAAATTGAGAGAAAGAGCGAGAGAAGGAGAGAGGGGGAAATTCACCTTTTACTAGTACCAATTTCTTAAGACAGTACAGCAACGACAAAAAAAAAATCAAATTACGCAGCATTTATTCATAATTTGAACAGACTGATCCAAAGCAAAGAAATGAGATAGTCAATTATTTTCTTGTTGCCGTATGTGTGTGTTTGCAAGATAGCTTCGATTGTGTCTGTATGCAAGGAGTTAAATGAATCTTGTCGCCGGTGCTGCTACTCAGAAACGTGCCACTTTGTTTGCAAACCCCACTGGTTATCATTATATTATATAACACCGCCTTAATAATGATAATAATAATAATACCAAATAGATAAAATATACCCTGTACATGTCTTATTTCGAGAGTTAAAAGCAATTTAAACCTTCATTTCTGGTTGGATAATAATGTGTCAAACAATCAAAAGTTTTTGAATCTTGTGCACGAAAAATTCCAGTGATGTCGCGAAGATGCTGCAGTAAGCCCCGCATGTGTTTTTTTTCATCCGTAATTGCATGATCCGTCGTCTCCAATTCTGAAATATTTGGGGTTCTATATAAGATTATGTTAAACATTTTTTGTTCGCACTTTATGCGTTATTACTAATTTACCAAAGATTAAGTATTTGCATAAACATGCAAGAGAAATATTGGTACAGTACGACAAAAAACCAGACCTATCAACATAAGTGTCTAAGTAAATGTCAAAATTTAAAAAAAACAATGAAAATCAATATATTATTGTAATTGAATATAAACATACGTGCATTAAAAAGTGAAAGTATCAATTATCCGAAGACAAATACCTTGACCGGCTGGCTCTGGTTCTAAGGCAACAAGGGCAAGAGCAGAGGAGCCCATGCAGGTATATTTGTGAGAATGGTTTCATCGTTATTAGCAATTCCGTTGTAATCACCGCATATTCCCTTCATGATCTCGCAGTAATCTGGATGTATCTGGACGACCACGGTGCGAAGGCGAACAAACACGGAGACTCTGATACCCGCAGCTCTATCAATGTAGCAGTGAGCAGCCAAATAAGTCCTCGGCACATCGTTATCGGGCAGGTTGGGGAAGCTGAAGGTGCCCACCTCTACTTCAGGATTTCCTGCAGAAATTGACCCAGTTGTCCCAGTTGGAGGCAGTTTATTGTTCCATGTAGGAGGGTACATTACAGGATCGCCATCGATCTGCAATGGTGGTATGAAGAACTTAGAGAAGTGCATGTTATTTGAATGGACTCATCGTTACACTTGGATGAGAAGTTGGGAGAGTTTTAGTTGAGCTTGCTTACTTAAGTCTCCTCCCGTGGAGGCTAGACATCGTCGACTAGCAGCTAAGAAAAAAAAACGACGTAAGCGACCTTTTAGATTCCTTGTGAATCGGGACTTAGTGACTTTATTACGTTGGTACATGTAACCAAGCTCTTAGTCAGGGAAACCGACCTAAGTTTTTTTTTTTTTTTTTGTGAAACGGGGGCCTGTTGGTATTCTAACCACTCCATACCTGAACAGTTAACATTTTTGATCGTGGCAAACAACAATTGCCTTTGATAAAATTAAGTGAAAATGCTACTGTAAACGTATACCCTCTAACCCTGGTAGTTATTATTCTGTGGGCATTGTTGCTCACTGTACAGAGATCATCAGGGGATTTCCAAGTACAATTTCGATCAAAAAACTTGTCATCTACCCGTCGATTTTATTTACGTGTATCAATCAATATTAGCACGCACGTTCTGCTCATATACCTGTTTTACTTTAGTCTGTTTATTCATTTGTTTTTTATCAATGTAAATTGCTTTCAAGTGGGGGTGGCCATATTAAGTCGGCGGATCAGTTTGTCCACGGATCATCTGTTCTGAATGCGCTCTTATACATTAATCAGGCTCTGGTATTGGTAATGGGTGTGCTTTTTTAAACACAAAGCATCCAGTTTCTTACTTCTTCCTTATGTTTAGTTTTGCTTGAAATGCATTAATATGGCGGAAATTGGGGATTAGATGGGCGGATAGTTTTTGCTTAACTTTGTCCCTTGATGATCTAAACCCCATTTTGATAGATTCTGGCTTCAAACTAAAACAATCATACATTTTGTACGTTCATTGGAGACAATGAACGCGCCTGTACTGTCCCCGTCTCAGGCAACATAAAATGCATTAATTTAACCAGTGGTGGATCCAGTACTAGGGGATATGGCTTACCCTTCCTCTCTCCCGCCATGATGCAATTTGTAGTATAATTTATCTAAGGCCCTCAAAGTTAAGGGCCGCCCTTTTGTAATGGCGGCAGTACATTGGCTAAATGAGCTTTGATTCAAAATGAAATAAAAAAATAATAAAAATTCTTTCCAGCGAATTTATACAAAAATAACTTATCATACAGGAAAAGAATGTCAGCTTACCCACGTTTCGGGAGCGTCTGAGTTTCCAGGGGGGTTGAAGTTGAAGTCTACTGTCCTGTTGTTGCACCCAAACCTAACTGCACTGATGTATGTACGTGGTCCACCCTCGTAAGGGGCATGCTTGGTCCACACGTACCACCACCACCCCGCGTTGGACGCCATATTTCCAATTCTATCTGGCGGGGCAGGATAGGAGAAATGCCTTCCATCACATGTTCTAAAATGCGGTTCTCCTTTCGCGCTGCAGTTACACCAATCCAACTGATCTGGTTTAAATGAAGTAGTAATTTAATTTACATTGATAAAAAAACAAATGAACAGATATACGTACGTGCTAATAATGATTGATACATGTAGATAAAATCGACGGGAAGATGACAGGTTTCTTGAATGGAATTTTAATCGGAAATCTTAGATCCCGTATCCCTACTCCAGTTATGATTTGCCAAAGAATCGGGGTCGGTTATAGTGTTATTGTCAACTAATAACTTCAGAATGCATTATGAAGTGAAAGATAAAGAGAGCTCTGAGATGGCTCTGAGATGGGGCAGCCTGCGTAGAAAAAAATGCATTGAGACATTCATGCGAAGACTGCACAATTATACCTATGTCGAATGTATATGCACTTTCGACAAAATCACAAAATATCTGTAATCTACTGTAAATATACTTACTAGCACATGTAGCCGGTGGGTTCGGCTGATTTGGGGTTCCAGATCCCGGTTCAGGTAATGCCGAATCGTTGAATTCAATGGCAGAGACCAAGGCAAATTGCAGTATGATCGCACATAGAAGGAGCACTTGTCGTAACGGCATGGCAATGAAAATTTCAAGAAACAAGCTCAGGCCGTGTACTTGATAATCTAGGAGTTATTAGAAAATGAACAACTCGCTTACTGAGCTTCGTTACATATTCACTGCATTTTTTAAATAGCTGTTATGTGTGTTGTTGTGACGTAAAAGTCACTGTGAAGATGTAGGAAGAAATAGAGAGAGGAGGAGTTGAACTGTTTCCAGAGTTTGCCACGTGCGCTTAATGCAAATTTTAACCAATAATTTTCCGAATTGTAATTTGACAAACGGTTGAAAGAGGTGATGCCATAGTTCATACTGCCGACGACAACTGATGGTTAAAGAGGTTTCTCTTTTTGGAAAATGATGCGGGCAAAAAGAAAAGTAATTGCATTTCATCTCCCGCTGTCTCCACACTGCTGGTAAAGGTAGGCGACTCATAGACCCCATTGCCATGCCAAAAGCGATCTAGCAGGATCGAGCCATCTCCGAGGGGTTTCTAGCTAAATTACATTTAACTTAAGCGGCTCTGATGTCTGGAACGCCTACTGAAGCTGCTAGGGGTAACTTAGGCTTCATTCACATGCAATGTCTATTTTCTAAATTCTATTTTCTATTCGCGGTATGTCTTATGATCACGGTATGTGCCCTGAATATCCCGCGGCGTAATTACTGGCAGCGCGAGCCAGTTACTATAAGTTACTATAAGGCTTCGTTCACATGCAATGTCTATNTAGCGCGAATAGAAAATAGATTTTTAGAAAATAGACAATTACTGGCAGCGCGAGCCAGTTACTATAAGTTACTATAAGTAACTGGCTCGCGCTGCCAGTAATTACGCGGCGGGATATTCAGTGCACAGACCGTGATCATAAGATAGCGCGAATAGAAAATAGATTTTTAGAAAATAGACATTCCATGTGAACGAAGCCTTACTAATGTTTGGCAGCTTCAGTAGGCGCGCCAGACATCTGGACGCAATTTAGCGGGAATCCCCTCATAGATGGATTGATCCTGCTAGATCGATCTAGGTATTGAAATGGGATCTTCTTGTCAGGCGCCATGATGTGTGGCTTGAGAACATTTCATTTTGACTGCCTGCCTTGGTCGTGCTCTGCACGTAAGTATTTCTCTCTGAGAAAACAGTTCATGGTAAGTGAAATGAATAATTTTCTTATAAAAGACTTTTGACAAATTAAAAGTTATAAACTGCTATTCCCCTTCAAGCGCCATTGTTCAATGTCATTCCCATGTACATTTTAGTTGAGCTGTAAGGAAATGTGCATAAAGATAATGATAAAAATAATTAGAAAGATTTATTAACTGTTAAAGCATGATTTCCTCTCTATTCTGATCTCGACAAGTTACTGAATTGCCAATCCCAGTATTACGACTGAAACATGCGACAGGGTCCCTTATTCACTAATTTGTACATCTAAGGGACCATTCCCACTAAATTGCGGACTTCATTTCTGTTATTAGGACGTGCACTCCTGCCACACCGGCTTAAATGTCTGTCACGCCCAGTAAAGCTGTTAGACTCCCCAGGGACTAAGACCTATCCAGATGGACCGATCTAGGCATGGGAACCCTGTCTAAGCACCGTCCTAGATTTTGACCCACTTGTATGGCACTGTTAATTCACCCTTATATAGGTGTATTACCCTTAAGAATCTAATGGGGGATGGACTATTTGTTAAACGGATTCTTAGATTCTTCACACAATGACCATCATGCAGCAGCAACACGTTCGCAAAATCAAAATCTGATCAGTTCAAATGGGCACATGCGCAGCGGTATAAATTTCTCACCCATTTGGATAAAGCCACCTTCCATGGCTACTCATTATATGTGCCCTTCCATGAAAGTCGTCTTTTGTGGTTTACATTTTATCTATCAATTAAACTAAATACGAGACGATGCGCTGTGTTTGCTACTACTGTAGATGCCACTCTGGGTTAAGAAGGCTTTCCTTCGACTATCTCAAAAATAAAAGACTCTTGAATCTGTTTATACAATTCTTGTGCCAATAAGATATGATTGACCAAAATCGACATAATTATAGCACAGTCTTATATTTTCCACATCAATATTTCAAGAGCGTCGTGGCGCACATCGTATTACGCCTTAGAATGAAAACGAAGAGATCCACATTAATCCATTATTCAGATGTCAGCGGTTAAGGACAGCTGCCAGCTCACTACGAAGGTCAAGGAATAGGGGGGAGAGGGGGGGGGGGGGTAAACTTGTCGGAAGAGAGTAGCCTCCGACCGCAGTTTTTACAAGCAAACGCTAAATGGTGCCGAAGCTTGGGACTGGGGGTTGTATGTGTGTATGAAAGATTATTCAATTTATATTTGTTGAATTAATATTATTTTTGTGTGACTAAGGCTTGAGGGATTCATCATTGCATAATTTAAACCCAGGACTATACTATATACCTCTATAGCACAAGTGTTACCACTGAAAGCATATTACGCCTTTGAAGATTAAAAAGGAAGAATCCACAATCTACGCACCTTGACTTTCATCAATTATTCAAATATCTGTGATATGAAGCAGATTTGTAGTATTGTGAAAGAAAAAAGGGGGAGGGGGGCAAACTAGTCTTAAACTGTTTTCCAAAGCACTGGCGACTTTGAAATAGGCATTTTAACAACAGCATTGTCCTAAGGTATGGAACACCGTCTTATGAACAAAACAATGTGAGGAATACTTTTTTTTTATCAAAAGGTAGGTGAGAAATAATATAGTACTATTGTCAAGTTATGTCTAAAACACACTTAATATAGCAGTTACTGTAATCAGAAAATCCAAATAAAACTTGCCGCTTTATTTCAAAAAGTCATCTTTATTCACCATACAAAATGCTGCCTGTAGGGATGTGAACAATTCAATTATGAAGTATGTCATAACATTAACAAAGCATTTTCTTCAAAGTATATAATTATTTTACACCCATGTTCATTTATGTTGTAATATGATTACAAAAACGGACAGATCAGAAATCTGAAATAACGTTCAAAACCTAAGGTGAAAACCGAGACGGAGCAAATGTAGTCTGAAATAAATAGAAACACATACAAAATAATTTAAAAAATGATGCATGCAGATAACAAACCCCATGCAACACTTTAATTATTTCCTGTAGGTGGTAATCTATTAAAGTGTAATGTCATGATGAAATAACTGACATTTGAAAGTAAAATAACTAACAATCTGTAAAATATCACAGTCTAAGACTGAAACTTTATGACAAAGTATTAATTCTGCATCATAAGAATATTTACAAATTTTACATCGGTAAAAGACGCACTTCATGCAGATTGGTTAAATATCTACGAGCTCAAAATGAAGGAAAAAATGTTTAATAAAACTGATTAATTGTAAATAAATCATGCTATCATACTGCAGTAAAAATTCAACAGCAGACACCTTAGATGGAAACCATCAAGAACAATAAAGTTCAAAGTGGAGAAAAAATTACTCTTGATGATGTTTAAAAAGGTTACAAATAACCATGGAGCTTCAACCCATGACCTTACCCTAAAACTAGGTCAATAAAAATGTGTCCATTCACTAATATTTTTTAAAATGCCAGAGAATCTGCGTATAACAATAGACATTTGCAATGGTTTAATTTTTACATAGGTAATCTACCCTTGATATTTTCACCAATTGATTATCTAATTTATAAATCTATTTAAAATGATGTCTAGAAAAACAAACTTATAGTGATTTTGATCATAATACATTCGTTTTCATGTATTTCATATTGTAATTTCACAATCAAGAAACCACTGTGCCTAATAATTTAACTAAAAAAACTTTTAAAAAGGTATTTGCTCTTAAATTCAGTTCCCCATATTTTAGGGATTAAACAGTTAGCGGGCTCGGTTTTCCTTGCCAGTTTCTCCAGGTTGCTTTCCCCAAAACTCATCACGTCTGCTCCGAGCCCTTTCTAGTACTTCAGATGCTAGAGAGCAGCTTGATGCCAGAGATCTTGTTGAAGTGGATAAAGTATCATCATCTTGTTTTTTCCATTCACCCAGTCTTTCTTGTGCTTCTAATTTTAGGAAATAAAAAATTTAATAAATTACAATGTCTAATTTTTTTAAAGGTTAATATATTAAAATATTCTCCTTGCATATTTAAAGGTGCATTTGAAGTGAGCTGGCATGTCAAATTTCTGCGCAATACCTGACGAAATGACCTTAAAGACAAACCAAAAAGCATTGCTTCATATTAAAAAAAAAAAAGGGACATCAGAACTGATATTTTCTGCAATTGCTGTGTGTGCTGTATATATCCCTTGTCAGTTTCCGTTAAGTTTGCAATTTGAAAACTTTTTTTTATGAATGATGGATTAATTTAGTTTATTACTTGGCACTTCTAATAAATTTAAGTCTTATTAAGCCTTATAGAAGTGTTTTATATGCACTAAAGGGAGTTCAACCTCACTTTACAATTATGTAACTTTAGGATTTATACAGAAACTATCAAAATAATAAATATAAAAAATGTGTGTGTGTGTGTCGGAAATGAATAAAAATAGTCCAACTTATAATTCCTATGAAAAAAGGGAAACAACTACAACATAGAACCCAGAAGAATGCTTCAAGTTGGCATGCAATACAACAACATTGTCAACTCTTGGTCATTATCCAAATATTCAAATGTTGCTAGCCAGTGCATGAAAATGTCAATACATACAATTTTGAAAATGTATTTCAAATGTATATTTAATCTCCTTTTCTTCTTTATAAAAATCATCACAATTTTGAGAACTAAACATGTATCATTCAACATATAGTAGTGCAACAACATTATACAACAACAACAACAACAACAATAATAATAATAAATAATGAAAAATAATAATAATCCCCCATTCACTCACTCAGTGCTTCTAGAGTTGGTTTGGCATATGTCTTCCCCATCTGTTCAGGGATAGGAGACGGGTAGTTTGGCGGCTGCTGAGGCTGACGCTTCTGAGGCATGGCTGTCATGGGACGCCCATGCATGGATCCAGAGTTGGGGCGATCTCTTCTGGCTGGGAAACAAAATTTCAAGAAATATGAGCATGAAACATTTGACATATAATTTTTAATTAATGACATGAAGCAGAAATGCCTCTTACTCGGAATCCGACAAAATTGTTCTTGCCAATTTCATTTTTCTTGATGCTGAAAATGTGTTCCAAATGGACTTATAATTTAAAAAGTGACAACAATCCTAAAGATGGATTATCTTGAGAAAATTATAGAATGATAAAGTATGCATGACTAATCAGTGCCAACAGTTACTCACGCAGAAAGAAAAGGTATATAACTTCTATAGTACTGGTCTACTGCAAACAACCCAGTCTTGCTAGGATACAAAAGGTCATATTCCATATCCTTTTTTGCATTTTTTTCCCCCCCTTACCTTTGCTTGGTTGTGGACTGTGAACATATTTGGTCTCCATGCCTCTATCGTAGCTGACGCTGTCGTCAATAAGCATGTGGCTGTCGCGGGTTGGCATACCAAAGGTGGGAGAGGAGCCATTAACAGCTGGCGGCTAGATTGGATGAACAAAACTTATATATATATATATATATATATATATATCCTGATACTAAGAAAGGACTTCACATATACATGACATACTGGTCTATTAATGGAAGGAGGTAAATTTGCTTAGAAAAATATACATTGTGATAAAAATATGCACAAGATTACAAAATAACTTCCACCCCAAATTAAAAAGTGACTTAAGTTTAACCTTAATTAAGTGCCTACATTGCTCCCACCCCACTCTACAAATTATAGAGTCCCCATTAGTTTCTTCTACTTAAAAAACAGTTTTAACAACCACAACAAACACATCCAGAAAAGAAGAAGAATAAGAACTGTTTCTATTACCTGGATACAGGAGCCTTGTAAAGAAGCAGGGAGGGTGGACAGTGGCACACTAAGACTTTTATGAGGCAGAGACACAGCACTCGGGTTAGTATACACAGAAGGCATGGAGGCAGCAGTGGGGGCTGAAGTGGTCTGACTGCTTGACCATCCAGTTCTGATAGTGGACGATCCCGCCACAGCTTGACTGGTAGCTTGCTCTGTGGACGATGGGTAGCTGTGCAGTAAGCTGTACACTGAATCGCGTGCTGAATGTGATGCAGAAGCAGTTGCAGTGACAAGAGTTGGCACGCTGTGACTATGCGGGACATTAATGCACCCATGCTCTTGACTTTCTTCTGTGGCAGAAACGGGTGCAGAAGTTGTCCTTCTTGTTGGGGCATCTTTTTGCCAGTGAGCCCGTGAAGAGGGTAAAGATCCCTGTTGTTCATGAGCTCTCTTTTTACCGGAGACCACCCCTCTGTCTTTACCATCTGTATCAGCTGACTGAGATGACTGATGAAATGGCACCTGACTGGATGCTAGGGTTGTTGTCCTGCTCCCACTGGTTGGATAAGAATAATAGGCACTCTCTGTGGTGGTCTTAGAACTCGACTTCCTACAGGTCATTTGGTCAGCAGTGATATTTTCAGAAGATGTCTCAGGGTGTTTTTGGCCTGGCTGTTGGTCAGTAGTGGCATCATGTTGACATTCCTGATCCCTTTGACCGTTCTCGTCCACTGCACTGACCATTCCCTCGTCATCGCTCACACCACAGCTGCAACGCCTTGGTTTGTTCTTGGTCGGAGACTGGGCTTCATTACCATGGTGCCATACTTGGACTGAGGCATCATGACCACCAGTTACATCACCCCTGGTTTCAGCAGTGTGGTGCATATCACTCTTCGGTGGCAGTGGCGGGACATTTCTCTGAGAGCAAACAGCTGCATGCCGAGGGTGAGAAGCATCGGCGGAAATAATAGGAGCAGAATGCGGCTTGGAAGAGGAAAAAGAGGAAGGTGGTAACACACGACTAGTACTAGCGCCACACGAACAACTTACTCCTTCCTTCCGTGGAGGTTGGTTGGACATTGTACTGTTGCTGGTGCTACTGCTGCTACGGCGACCCCTGCTGGGTTGAGATTGAGGCTGTGACCTTTGAACTTGTGGTGGGGTTTTTCTTGGAGTTCTCTTTCTAGGAGGAGGTGAGGTCAGGAGTGCCCCGCCCACTGCGGGTGTTGTGCGATCCAAGTGATGTCGTTGTACATTGGATTGTCTGGCATAAGAGAAGTGGAATTCAAAAAGTGATAAAATATATCAATAAATTAAGATAGGTCATTGGGTTATATATTGATCCACCAAATTCAAAATGTAGTCTGAGGGTTTTCTTTTGACTTTGAATAGGCTGCCTAAAGAGACTGGTTTTATATGATTCAAACACCATTAAAATGCCTTATTACACAGCAAATTTGTTCATAAATGACAGCAACAGACATAAACACTAAAATATTGACTATTCCAATTACTTTTCAGTTTGGTAAACCACATATGCATTAATCACAGCAAATAGGTATAATTATAGTTATAACCCTCATCATTTCAGCCTACCTCTGAACCTGTTCCACTCTGAGCCGAGGAGTAGGAATTCTACCTTCATCATCGTCATCTGCCCCAAGGGTACCTTCAGTGTCAGACATTGAGCCTGACGTTAGTGTACCCTCTGGACTTGCTATTGACCCAATTCTGAATTAAAAAAAAATAGCCAAACATTATCACTTACATTGTGTGCTAAGCTTAGACTGCTAAACTCAGATAGATGACTATGTTAAATAGACTTTGCCATGTCAGTCTTTGAGCATTTTAGTGAACCTAAAGAAAGTGAATATAATGAAAATATTTTTTAAGATGCTGAGATAATAGCAGTATGAATTCTGTTTTTTACCTTAGGCCACACTTTTTTAATTTTATGGATGACATCCTGCGCGCGCACCGATTTTCGTCCGTTCTCCAAAAAAAAAAAAAAAAAAAAAATCCCCCCCCCAAACCGCTCCCCCCCCCCCATGCAAGGAAGTTGGTTGTCGCAAACATCGTTATTGAATTTGCAGGAAAATGCAATCGGCAATTCTCGGCTAATTCCGCAAGCTCTTAAGAGATTTTAACAAAAAACCAAACTTTTTAGAAAAAAACCAGGGACTAACTTTGAATGTAAAAATGGATTCATTAACCATTGGTAAGTATGGGAAAATTGTTGTTTACTCCAGGAAAATTCATTTTTTGGCCGAAACGAAGAGTTATTATTGCTTTAATTTCAAAATACACGACAATTAAAGTCATAAAGAGAACGGGGGCCGTCTTTTTGGATTGGTTTGCCATTGATATTGGACATGGAGATATCACCCTTTTACAATTATACGAAAGGCTGGCCGCGGCCAGCGATCATCGCCCGGAAAATTTCAGTGACATTCTGTCCAAAGCAGCACATACCAGTTTCTTTTTGGAGCGAAAAAAGGGTCGACAAGAGCGTCGTGGTATTTGGTGGACTGAAGGTCGGACAGGCCACCCGATAGTTGGCTGCTAGCGTTTGAGTCGAAGTAGACAAAATGGCATCGACCGAAATTACCTTAGTAGTAGGAAGCATAGGCCCATCTTTGCTTCATTTTTTTAACAATTCTGTGAAGTGTTTACAATGCTTTAATTTTCTGAGAGTACAAATTAAGACACGCTGTTTATTTGATATTTGTTTTATTGGATGCTATACCAACAGAATGCATGAAATAACCTTAAATAGATTTGGTAATATGCAGCATACTCAGTATATATTCATGACTTTTTACCTTTCTACGAAATAGGCCCTATTCACAAAGCTTTAATATTTTGAGAGCATGGATAAAGACATGTTGTTAGTTTGATACGTGTTTCTGTGGTAAATTAGTGTTTCCAGCTGTGTACTGAAAACATAACTTTTCTTAAGCAGTTTTTTTTTTTTTTGGACTGTTTTTTTTTTTTTTCGCCCGCTCGCACCGACTTTGGGGTCCCCAGAGGATGTCATCCATAAAAATAAAAAAGTGTGGCCTTATAAAAATAAGGATAAAAGCTATTTGCTGTGCTTTATCGTGTTTCTCCAACACTTGAATATATTTTTCTTATGACTTTCTGTAACTGACCACTGTTTTAAATTAACAGGTCTACAAATATAACTACTCTAAAGACATCTTCTAACTAGCTTAGCTTGCATGTGTGATCTCTTCTTACCCTGAAGCTCTCTCATCTTCTTCACTCTTCTCCCAGGCTAATTTCCTTCTGACTGGCTCAGATCCCTGAGGTGGGGGAGGTCGAGGAGGAGGAGCAGTTCTCTTGGACTCTCGAGGTTGCTCATTCTCTTTGTTTTCTTTTCTCCTATGGATAGAGCAAAATAAATGAATGTCAATTATAATGTGCCTCCACACATCTGCAGTGGTCATTGTTAAAGACTTTAATTATAGCACACAATTCTTTTGAAGAACATTTCTGAGTTTCAATCAAAAAATAAAATAAATAAACAAGTAAAGAAAAAATAGAAAAAAAAGAAAACTAAAATTCTTTCAAAAGTATCACACAATTAACTCTCCTCTTTCTCTCTCTCTCTTTCTCTCTCTCACACACACACACACACACTCACATACATATATGCATTCATCATACATACATACACACCTACCCACCCACACCCACAAACACACCCTTCTTTTGCCTTTCTTTTCTGTTTTCTCTCTCAACTTCTTAACAATTTCAAACCTTCCACCATACCTGTGCTTCTTAGCTGGCTGTTCCAGAGACAGTGCAGACAGGGTGCTGCTCTCGCTGACTTGATCCCACAGTTCTGCCTGCTGGGCCAGCAATTGTGCTAGGTGTTCCCTGGAGAAATGTGTTCCCTGCGCTCTCTTCCTGTACTCCTCCGCCTTCTTCCTCAGTTCTACCACCTCAGCAAACCAGTTGGCACCAGGGGAGGGGGGAGGAGGTTGCTGTCCCGCCTCTGGGTCTGATTCATTTTCCTGCAAGAAGCATATTTTGCTCATCATTCAAGGTTTAAGTCTTTTTGCAATAATAATGATGTGTCTTGAGGTTTATAAATAAATAAATAAATAAATAAATAAATAAATAAATAAATAAATAAATAAAAAAACAAAGAAAAATAATAATGAATTAACAGATGAATAATAATAAAAATAATAAAAGGCAAAGAACTGATTTTGACCCATCAAAATGTGATAATAATCCGATCACTTAATTAAAAATATGTCCTTGTCAAGACTTGGTCCTTTACTTCACTTTATATATATTTTTATATATATATATATATATATATATATATATATATATATATATGATTATAGTCTTATAGTCTATAAAAAAAATATGGCCCGGTAAGACCTGCACCCTTACCTTTACTGGCATGATATGAGGAGGGTTTGCACCTCTCCAGGCTCCATCTTCATAGGTATATTTCCATGGGGGCCTGAAATTGCTGTGGTACTCTGAACGATAATTTCTGAAACAATGAATACAGGAAGGTAAGATCAATAAATCTTGAATGTTGGTAAATTATGTTTAGGTATATTTCCATGGGGGCCTGAAATTGATATGGTACTCTTAACAATAATTTTTGAAATTATGAATACAGAAAAGATCAACAAATCTTAAATGTTGGCACATGGATCATAGTTTAGTTAGCATATCTGAAGTTGAAAAATAAGTTTCTTTTCACAATGGCATGCAAGAAAATTGAATGAATGAATGGAGAAATAAATAATTTAAAAAAATCCTCAGATAAAAATGATTTAGCTGTCAGTTTAAGACCTTCAAACAACAAACAATTATTATAATCATATCTTACCTGTATTTTCCGTGTGGGAAAAATATCCTCTGTGGGTTGAGGGACTCTTTGACCAGTCTCTTGTCATCAGGAGAGGTGACCTGGTGTATCCCAGCAGGGGGACGCTTGTCAGGACTTAACCTGAGTTCTGAATCAGATATAATTGTAGACAAAATGTTCAAGGTTAACAACCATTTTTATACTTGGTTTATGAGAAATCTAACACTGGAGAGGAAAGAATGACTTAAACAGAAAATCTAGCATGCAAATATTACATTTACATATTATAAACTGGTTGAATAACCTAATTATCTGAAATAAGTTATTTGAAAAAAATCCTTAATTGTCTTTTTGTCTTATATGGAAATAAAACTCACCTAGTACATAATGTAAATTATATATAAAGAAAAATGTCCCTTACCTGCTTCACTTTTACTTCTCTTCATCTGCAATGATAAAATATCATAATTTCATTATCAATCCATATGCTTCAGTGTCTAACAAATCAGTAACAAAGAATTTTTTAAAAATAATATGCTAAAGAAGATCACCATACAGTGATAAAAAAATATTATATAGGGGTTCTCCACCACACTCACTATGAGCATACAAACAAAACATTTGGTGAGCAGAACTTTGCCAATATAAACTGGGTGCTTAAATATTTAATGCTGCAGCTGTTTAATATCCACTCACTAGAGTCATATAAATTCATTCTGAATATAATTTTACATTCAATACTACAAATTAATAATAATAAAAATATATAATATGTCATAAAAAATCAATTTCCAAAATGCACTGTTTATCTTATATATATACACCAGTCTTAAAAATGTGGTACATTTTGTCTGTTGTTTCATGCCATATTATGTCAAACAGCGAATTTCAATTTACTCAATCAACAACAAAAAAGAAAAGCACAATTTTTAGTAGACTATACCTTGTGTTTCTTTCTTCCTCCCTCTGGTCCATTCTCAGTTTTCTTTGGTTCCACTGGTTTGTAAAAGTCTGTCCAGGGTTTGAACTGGTTGTTGTATTCTGTTGTGCGTGGAATGTTATCACTCTTGTAAGGGGGAAGATCCATACTGCTGTTGTATACAACCTGGATAACCAAATATACTGTATGATGAGAAAAGTTTAATGTTTTTCACCAAAGGTTGTACATTTTGAACTGAGACTGAAGATGTTTTTTTTTAGTCTTTGAAACCAAAACTACTGTGATAATTATAAAAAAAAACCTAACGTTCTATATAAAAAATTATACATTTTGAAAAAAAAAGAAGAGATTTATGATAACAATAACATTTAATGTTTCCCCCACACTTTTAGAGTGGCAGATTCTATCAAATATCTATAGAAATACATATGACATTATCAATCCTAACAATAACACCAACTTAAGCTATCTCCTGAGAGTGCCACCAGACAGCCTCCTACCTGTTCAGCTTGCAGTAATGGCACTGACTCCACAGGTTTCTTCCAGCTGAACTCTTTCTGGTATTCAGAGACCCTCTTTGGGTTCTTCGGCCGGGGTGGCGGTACCCCTGCTCTGTACTTCATGGCATAATCCGGCTGAAATCAGAAGTAATGGTAAAGGGATAATTAATTTCAGGACAGAGAAATTGCTTAAACAATGTTTCAGAGATCTGTGATTTTTTTGTAGAACTAACAGACCATAATGATAATTAAATTGACCTTAAATCTCTAAAATAAAACTAAGAATCACTCATGTCACTCTTCATTGTTGGCTTAAACCAAGTGAGCTATTGCATAAATTTCTTACAATTTTAATGTATTGCTGGTAGGAATTTATTTCCTTAAAATGTAAATTAAACTGAGCCAAATTACAGGAACTAACAGTCAATAAATATTAACCACATTTATTTTTAAAGATATAGTTGTTTTATAAAAAATGAAGAATTATTTTATCCATTCTTGTACTATCACTTCTAAATATCAGCATTTCTTTTTATTCCCTGCTCCCCCCCCTTTTTTTACCCCATAATCACTTACAGGAACCTCCTGTCCAGAATCAGCGACCCCTTTCTCCATATCAGTCTGCACAAACTCGTTCATCATTCCTTCCCTCCTTTCCCTCAGTGGCTCTTTCTTTCCAGTATCAATCTGGACTTTTGGTGGGGGCGGTCTTTGCGGTGGTGGGGGTTTGAATTTCGTGGGTGGCGGTGGTGGTGGTGCAGATTTTATTGCTGGAGCAGGTGGCACCCTTGGTTTCCCTGTGTCCACATTGACCTTGGGTGCTGGGGCTGGCCCAGGCTCATCTGAACTGGTGCCATTTTTAAGTCTGGCAGCTTGTCTTTTTCCTCCAACCTAGGATATAGAATGTGCTAATTCACAGACTTGTATTCTATGACATTAATATATGACCCAAATTGTGGGGAAAGTGCACGGTTCACGGCAGTGCACGGTAGTACTAGTCACCTATAAAATACTTGTCCACTTTAAGGGAAAATGTTTAAACATTAATTTTAAAAAATGTTTTATAGTACTTGGAGTTTGCTCAAATGATTTGAAAAGTCAGTAGGCATCTTGTCAGAAAGTGCATTATCATTATTATTATTAATGTCTGAGAACTATACTTCTTTCAAAACAATAAAATATTTGAAAAAGCAAGATGTCTGTACATTTCAAGTAATCACCAAAACAAAACCAATGCATAATACAAGACGTATTACCAACATTCTCTTACATTGAAAGTCTTGGCCAAGGCCTTTCGTCGATCATTCTTCAAGTTCCTGTACTTAATGCTTTGACCAAACTTGGTCTGATCACCTATCAGCGTGTACTCGTCTTCTACCCGCTGCCCTGATGGCTCATACTCTCCGTTGATGTATTTAGTGGTGGCTGTGGTTGTGAGAGGGATGGGCTTTTTCTTTCTCTGCAGCGGTGGTTCTGTGGGTATGCCGTACATGCCCCCACCTGGGTGAAAAACAGCATGTACAATATCAGTACATACATAGGTATTGGTGAAAATGTGTACAATACAAAGCGAAGCACAATCCTGGCATATTAATATTATGCAAAGAGAAATCATTTTATAAGATGGCATTGTTTTCTTTCCTTTAAAAATCTTGATCAGGGAGATTGATGTTAACTCAATTTTTGTGATAAAAATATTTTCATGGTGTAGATTACCCAGGTAAGCATTCTAAAGCAAATATGAATTTTGTCAACAGTGATCTGTGATCCTTAGATGGAACATGGTTATGTGACTTGGATGCATAATTTTTTGGTTGTAATCTTTAACTCAATACTTGAAACAGTAGTCAATACAATTACAAAAATACTAGAACATAAACAAAAAGCAAAAACTATAATGCATCTAAAAAATCTACAAAAATACTATATGCAGCACAAATGTACTAGTAAGCCATTTCCCCCTTTGCCTTACTAAGCGAGGTGGGCTGTCCTGCTGGAGGCGCCATCTGTTCTTTTGTGGGTGAGAAGGAAGCACTCTTTGGCGAACTCAACCACGTGAACTTCCTTTGGTATTCTGATGAAGGCTTATAGGAAAAGAGGGAAATAGAGTCAGGGAAATAATAACAGAGATAATTCAAACAAATAAGCTAATGAGAAAAACCAAAAAACACCTCAGAAAAACAAATAAGCTTATGAGAAAAACCAAAAAACACCTCAGAATAACACTACTTGTACCTGAAAAAAAAAAAAAAAGAGAAAAAATATACACACACAGAAGCTATCAGGGCAGCTAAGGTTGGAGCTATAAAAAAGAAAAAAATCATACATATTACACAAAACAATGACGGCAAAGCAACCAACGCATCACCAGGGTCATGGCAAAGGCAATAAGCACAGCCCACGCCTATCTCACTTCAAATGACACCATGCACTAACTCTGGACCAAAATATCCATCCATACTGTACTGACCTAATAAAATTAGTGTTGTTCACTGTAAACCATTAATATTAGTTGTATCCAATTTTTCAACAAAAGTTCAGCTAGGGGGTATTAATAGTAGTACCGCAGGGGGCGGGGGGGAGGGCTTTTTAAGGAAGGATGGGGTTGGTGCTTCCCTCTTTTTAAAAAAAAGGATGGGAAGATGCTACTGTTGGGACTGCCTATGATATTCACAATACCAATGGTTTATTTTGCAAACTGAAATTGGCCATGTAATGAGTATGGAAGATATGTTAGTGCCATATAATAATCATACTCAGATGAAGACCTACTGTACTGGCCCAAGTCTGCAGAGGATAAGCCTGCTACAGGTTGAAGTTGTTCTTTTGTTGGTGTTGCACCATGGTATGAATCATTCCATTTAAAACTACGCCTGTACTCAGAATCAGTCTGGAAACAAAAATAGTATGTCATATGGATCAGTTAGAGTCAACAATCAAGGAACTTAAGGAGCTCTGGAGGTTCCTATGGCCTAGAGATCAACAGACATACTGGTAGTTAGGAGGTGATAGCCCTGTATATGCTTTGCATCTTTCATATCTTGTTGCTGCTAGAAAAACAAGTGACAAATATAATGGTAATCAAAATATTGATATTCCATTAAGAAATGGGAATGTTTGATATGCTTACCCGTATCAAAATGTAATCAGTTTTCATTATATATGGTAGAAAACGTCATAGCACAGACTGGTAATACTACTGCATGTAATAATAGTGCTATTAGTAATATAATAATACATGCACTCCTACAAGTATTATTGTATTAAAATAGACACATTCAATAACTTTCCACTAAGATACGTGTCCCTCATACATTGCTTTTGTTGCTTAATCTAAATCTAGGGCAGTCATGGAATGACAGTTGTCAATGTAGCTGTCAACGTCACCAGCATTGCATAGGCTAGCACTGAACAAGTACATTTAGAAGGCAATGCCACAGCCGGCATTCGCGTTAAACCTGAGTAAAAATATTAAAATCCAAACCTTAAAACGAACTGGCATCGTTGCGATCCTTTCTTAGCACTCAGCAGGTTATTCTATGTGTGCATTTGGCTTTCGCTTACACCGGTGTCATTTAATCGACTGCAAACAACTAAGGGAACAACAACAGTAACATAAACTAACATTTAAAGCGTCTTTCCGGTCGCGCATGCGTCTTTTGTAGAATTTGGTATCCGTCGCGGTTAGATTTGAATTATCAAATACAAAATAAGAGATGTAAAGTGGAAAAAAATGAAGTTTGTACATTTTTTAATAGTTTGTTAAAGCATAATCAAGTAATTTTATTATTGATGGCAATTATTCTAAAAAGTCGGCTTGGGATTGACCGTGTCTTGATGACATGTGACCCAGTTCATGTTGACCTACAATTTATTTCCGGTTGTAACCCTTTCGAGTACTAACTAGGTAAGTGTTACCGCTGGAAGTCCGTAGTTTAACTGTCCGTGTTTTGATAACTCCATCGACAATTTCTGGGGGTTTTCAATTTTGATAGGGCAGTTACTTATTCAAGAGGTGAGTTAAATTACAACTTTATTCTTACCTGAGTGAATGTCTGGCCGCGTAAAACTTTTGAAAAAGTTTATAAAAAGTTACTGTGTTTTGATAAAGTTGTAATGCAATTACGTGCCAGTGCCATGAGCACAGAGCGTAGGTGGGCGAATCAATCTTACATTGTTTATCATGGTGATTTACGAAAAATAGGTGTGAATCATACCGCGTGGAATAAAGTCATTCACGTTTTACACAGGTTTGACAAGTTATTGCTCTCAGCAAAGTTGTTCGTCTCAACTTGCTCATCACCATTTAGCGTAACACTTTTGCATTTATCCTGTTTTTTCAGAGAAGAGGAGGACTTACTTAACAAACGTGTTTGTCTGCAGGATTTGTCCTTAATAGATATAGGATGTGGAACTTAACAAGACCTTCTGGGAAATCAGGATATTGGTGAAATGGAATCAAGTGCTGGGAAGTGATTCATGCAATCAACAGGTGTCGGACACAGTCGGCTCAAACCCATTGATCAATAGAAGCCACAAATCTCCAGTTCATTTTATGACATTATTGAAAAGCATTTAGATAAAGGTTATTGCCTGTTGTTCACTAATCTGGTAATACCATATCGTAAGTGAAGTAAGTACATAACAGTGAACTCATTGAAGTCTCATGCTAACATTGTTGTCAGTCCAGTGAGGAAATTCAAGCTGGATGGGACATTGTTACAGAGAATATTTCAGTTTTGTGCCTATGGATTAGGAGGCAACAGAGGCATATTACCTGCAGCTGTGGATTAGAACATCATTATTTTTTGTCACAGAAAAGTTCATCAGAAAGACGATGGGTTTTGCATTCCTGAAAGTGAGGACAGTATTTTTTGCAGTATTTGTCACTGGCATACAAAGCAGTTTTGGATATGTCTCTATGCCTTTCCCTACCTACAATCCCAGTATTGTGGAGAGAACAAAATATGACCATCTAACGCAAGTTGCTGTTAATCAGGAAAATGGCCACGTCTTCGTTGGTGGTAAAAACCAAGTGTATCAACTGGATAAAGATTTGAGACTGATGTACAATATCACCACGGGTCCCGTGTTGGACAATGTCTTGTGTTCACCTTCTGCAAATTGCAATTTCAGAAAAAATGTGGTGGATAATTATAATAAGATTTTGGAGATTGATCCTGTCAATAAAGTTCTTCTGTATTGTGGCAGCACACACCAAGGATTGTGTGCGGTCGGTTCGTTGAAGAACATTTCACAGCGATCACTCCTCAGAGGGAACTCGACGCTGAATTATGTAGGGGGCAAGAAGAGCGCTGTTGCTTTTTTCGGGAGCCGCCCGACAAATTTTTCCCACTACTGTGAAGGGAGTGTTGTGTACACAGGCGTGTCTTATGATGACAGACCTTCCGAATTCCTCCCAAAGTCAATCTCCACAAGATGTCTGAGAGCAGAAAAAGAATCATACGATATGAAATATCTTTATGAGCATGCTGAGTACAATGTCTTTTCAGCCATTGATATTGCAAGTGAGTACAAAAGTACTTTCCGAGTGAAATACATTTACAACTTTGAGGACCAAGGATTTACGTATTTTCTCATCGTACAACCAGAAGGGCTAAATAAGCACAAATATAACACTAGGCTAGCAAGGGTATGTCAGAATGATCTGGGGTATTATTCCTACACTGAGATGCCCTTGGAATGTGGGTATATCGAACCTTACAACATTGCCACGGCTGCATACTTTGGAGTGGCTGGATCAGACTTGGGTAGCTCAGCCTATATACAATTTGAGGCAAACGAGAAAGTTTTATTTGTGACTTTTGGGAAGAGTCATCCGGGCAGCGCGTCTCCAGATCCCATGTCAGGTTCGGCTGTGTGCGTGTTTAAAATGGCCGATGTCATGATGGGGTTTACGCAGACTCAACGAGACTGTTACGAGGGAAGACAAGAAGATGCCAGCATTATGAAGTGGTTCATTCCTACAGCGTCAAGTTGTGAGGTAAGGTTGACAGAACTACTCTTCATTAGAATTCGGTATAATTTTGATAGTGAATATCAAATAAAGTGCGATATTTTCATGTCTGGTGTACAATGCACCTTTTCTCCATGTACTAGTAGGCAGATGATTTGCAGTTAAGTTACGCTGTCAGTTACAAATTGGAGAAATTTTACAGATGTGTTAGGTATGAAATAACCATTGACTAATAACGTACTATTTATTTTCTGAAGACATCAGATAACACTTTTCAGTCTAGAGCGATTTTACAATGTTGTATCAGGCTTCCAGTGTCTTTTGTCACTTTTATACAGACTTTTTTGCTTATGCTGAAAATATATATTCCATTTCTCTGTGCGTATTTTGTGTTTGTGTGTGTGCTTGTGTGTAAATGTGTGTTTATAATTGTAACTTGGATTGTTTTAATATACTAGATATGCAATGATAGCTCTTGTTAATTCAAATGTTATTTATAGATTGATGCTCAATAAGATTGTGGGTAATTGGCTTTGATTAATTAAGAAACTGAGTTGCAGTTGTATTAATTTCTTGAAATGAAAAAAAAAAAAAAACTTAGATCTGTGAGATGTTACCATGTCCTTCTAGTAAACTTGCAGAAAATAAAACAGAATCTCATTCACTTGTGCAATAAAAGACTTATAACAACTGAACTAGAAAAATGAGTATCTTAACAACATTATTTGGGTTATGATCAATGGATGTCCTGAAGCAGTTGCTGATGATATTCTGTTGTTCAGTTAGTTGCAAGTGAATTATTCTTGGTCTTTCTGTACTGTTCTGTGTTACATGACAAAAGACTGGCCTATCCTTCACATATCTCACCTATTGTAACAATATCAAATATCGCACCACAGGTGTCTATAGGTCACATGTACCTGTATGTATTATATATAATGAATGTGATTTGGTTTTCAGTGAAGTCTTCTATGCAGTTTGACTACAAACAGCTTTAGTTTTTTTTTATTATTTAAAATGCATGTATGATTAATATTTATAATTTATTATCAAATGTGTGTCTGGTTATTATAATTGTTTAGGTATTCATAACTGAGAAGTGAACTTGCGCAGTCATGAATCTTAGTGTGTCAAGAGACATATCCTTAATAACTGTGATGAAATCTGAGAAAAACTTTTCCGCTTTGTTATTATGTTATTGTAATGTGGATGAAGACATTTCAGTCGTCATTGAATCTTGGCTATTAGTCTTATTTTTTTTGTTGCGTATGATGAAATTATCCTAGAATGCACCAAGTTTGGACAAAGCTTATGGGTTAAATTAAGCTTAAAAGCATTGCAAAATTATTTACTGGTACTCTACTATAGACTTAATTTTGCAATGTGGCAAAAATTACCCCAGGGCCTCTGTTCAAAATGAGGAAAAGCTGTGGTTAGACATAAGGTCCTGTTACTCTACACCAGGATTTCCCCCTTTCCCACTTATTTCTTTAAATTTTTCATTAAGGAAGGTTAAATTTGGGGTTTTTGGTTTTCCGTGTCAGTAAGCAGGTTCCTGTAAATTTATTGTTACTTATGAATAAACTGATTTTTTTATAATAAATATTTTTGTCAAGTGGAACATGAAAAATGTAGTGTGTATGTGAAAGAGTATGCTTATAATATCTCTTCTTCTTATCTATACTTTCCCACACAACTATTTAGATTAATGTTATTTAGTTTTCAAATTCTTGAATTGATCATATTTGTATAAGATTAGTTTAGAAGTGTATTTCAAATATGATTTGTGAACAAATGTGCAGCAAAAATTATTTTTGCCCTCTGCATTCCCATAGTGTGTAAGTGGTAATAGTAATTCTTTCCAATACATATTTTTACTAGGCAATTTACTATTGAAAAAAAAAAGCTTATTTGAAAAAAAAATATGAATATCTAAAAATGAAGAAAAAAAGTTGAATAAAAAGATTTTTTAAAATATTAGATATGAGGCGTAGTTTGCTGTCATTTGAAATTTTTAATAATTATTAATTCCTTTTAAATATTTACAAGACCTGTTTAAATTCTTCTTACAGAGATCAGACTTGGTGACTGTGAACGACCATTTTTGCGGAAAACAAGACAATGTGGCCATTCAGGGATCGGAACCCATATATGGAGAAATATTATTTAAAATTTCCAACACTGTACTTACTGCAGTGGCCATCACCACTTACCAGACTCACACAGTAGCAATCATTGGGACCAATGATGGACGCATTATGAAGGTATGATTTGAATTAAAGGGGATAAACTTCTCTTTGGTCTCAGGATAATATTAACTTTTTGCTATAAAACTACTTACTGTATTAGCTTTTTACTGTAAAAGTAAAATTGTTTTACTGCTGATTATTTTATTTATTTAAGTGAAATAGTAATACATTTTGTTAAATATTTGGTTCATGTCTATTACCTACTTGGACTGTTTTTATTTCTCTGGAAATATGTTCAGTACTGTGTGAAATTCCACTGAAAGATTTCATTCTGTTGAGAATGACACACAGGCAGATGTCACAGCCTAAAAGGCCATAAAAGTACAGCTTTTAGTGCCAGCTACTATGCCGTATTTACTTTGCAAATTTGTAGTATCAATCACAAGTCAAATATTTACTCTGTTTGTTCGGTGTGGAGATGAACTTGAACTGGACACAGTATCACCACCCCATTTCGTGAAATTGGAAGATGTGCTTTGTCTAAGGCAGTTTTTCTCTGTAACTGTCAATTTTTTTTGTCAAAAATTTACACCACCGACTACTCTGCCTCTTGTTTACATTTGAAACTGTTAGTGTTCTTTGTCAAGTGACAAATATATTACCTGATGTAAAACAATCAACAACATCGGTAACTCTAACTGGTTACATTGTCAAAGTTGTCTCCATTTTATCATTTTTTGGAGGCATATCTTTTAAATGATTCTTTGTCATATGTCTTAATGTCTACATTTAACATTTGTTATAAGACATAAATTGTTTCTTTAATTATATTGTAGGCAATTCTTAATGGCACAGAAAATGTGAAACCATACATGAATGTGTCGCTGAGTGAAGATGCAGGGATCGCAATAGAGAAAGACATGGAGTTCGACCCAGAGAGGAAGAATTTGTACATTATGGCAGGTCCCAAGGTAAGTTCTTCCTACTTGTTTTCCAGCCCCCCCCCCCTCAAAAAATTATTTTTTTACAGTCTTTATTTCCAATACTTTTGTCATAATTTGCAATATTTGAATGCAGTAGTCTTCATTCCTCTAAAAAACTATGTTTTTGTCTATGTGAGCATACATTATATAGCAAGTCGTAGTGTGTTTGGTTCAAATCTAGTCCTCTAGAGGCATTTGTATCCTGGATTGAAAAAAACTTGTGCTTGGCACCTAATAGTTTTCTCGCAAAAGAGAAAGACAGAGAGAGAGCGAAAGAGAGAGAGAAAGGGGTTCTAGGAAGATAAGGTGAAACCACATACTAGTAGGACATTCGCCAGCTACAACTGAAGCAGCTGATAGGAGTATTTGGCCACCAGAGATTGGCAGTAGGCAGTTGTTTATGCTGGTTTCACCTGTCATTTTCAATTAAATTGTGCATGAAATTCTTGTCAAAACTGAATAGATTTAGGGTGGTTGATCTGCTGGGCTTTTGAGTGTATTAAATAGCTGGCATTTCTGATATTTTGTTATTATCTTGAATGCCTTGATGCTGACTTGCTGTGACTCAAATATTTTGTACTTTTTATAAAGGTTATAATTAACTCCCAGGGATGGAATTTGCAGGAGCTATTTTCTTTTATAATAGTACAAGGTAGTGGAAAAGTGAAAATATATTTTAAACAAGAAAAATGATATATGCACCCTTGAGTCAGATATTTCTTTTAACTGCATAAAAAAAATCATGTAAAAGTGATGTTTGTTTATCTCTGTACAATTAAAAGATGTTTGTAAGTATTCTTCTTTCAAATATCAGTTAATGAATAAATGCAAAGAAAGATAAAGTTAGCCCAAAACCTGCTTCTTTATGTTAAAGATGTCAACTGTGTGAGTTGAGAGAGACACACTCAAGTTAAGACGTCTTCTAGACAAGCCCTCAAGCTGTTATCTTTAAGTGGCTCCTCACTTTATCAGAAGGCAACTACTTCAGGTATTACATCACTGGCTCTCTGAGTTAATGGAATGAAAGGAAGTGGTCTTGTTTTAATAAAACTAAAACAAGCTTCTAGTCTAAACTTTGAGATCAATTACAATTAAATGCCTGTCAACAGAGGTGTCAATTCTGGAAATATAGCTATGTTTTGGTCATCTGAGCTAGTTGTCCACAGAGATTGAGCAATTTCACAGGCAATTAGACCCTATGTTTTGTTGAAACAAGAAGGGATGGCTGTGTTTTTGGTTGAAATACCAGCACTCTATTAAGAAAGCAATGAAAGTAGCCATATCCTCACTTTATGTAATTTCTTCTGAAACCATGACTGGTTTTCCAAACAAATGATGTGTCAGTTCAAATTTGACCAGTATTTGAGATATACTGAAGAAGACTAAGGCTTCGTTCACATGCAATGTCTATTTTCTAAATTCTATTTTCTATTTGCGGCATGTCTTATGATCATGGTCTGTGCACTGAATATCCCGCCGCGTAATTACTGGCAGCGCGAGCCAGTTACTATAAGTTACTATAATACTATAATAGAATTTAGAAAATAGACATTGCATGTGATGAAGCCTTATTTTGGTTTTCTTACCTACTGATATACAATAGGGTGTTTTCTGAAAAGCACTGCCACTTAGATTGCATGCTCCTTAAGAACAAATGGCTTTCTGATTCCAACATGATTTATAACCAGAAAAAAAAATGACTGATCAACATTTTCATGAAAAGAATACATACAGTGAAGTTTTAGGTATCAGAGATGTCAGTTTTAGGTTTAGTTTTAATTTTGGAGATTGTTCTTTTCAGAGTCACATAATTGACATAATTATGATTCAGAAAAGCACCATATGTAAAAGATTGCTCATGATGACTTCACAATGACAGATTCAGAGATTTGGACAAAGAAAAAGTGCATGCAGCGGTTTAGTCAAGACAAATTTTAACTTGCACAGATTTTATGGGTTCAATTTTATGACCAAGTCTTAACAGTAAAGAATGGACTTGGAAATTAAGTGCCCTAGTTTACCCAAGAGAATTATGAACTTTTACTCATTTTTTTTTTCAGTAGTCTTCATAATTCACGATCAAACGAATGTCATGTAACCAAAAATTTTTTAGTAAACTCTGAAACTCCGGGTCTGCCGTGGGCAACAGAAAGGAAGCTGGGTCGGTAGCGGAGGCAGATAACTGTTGCAGTTTACCACATTAAATGTGACAAAAGAGGAGAATAAATGCTCATAAATCCACACTTTAAGACCCATTGTCAACCCTTGAGTTCCTGCCATTGAAGATTGATAGTTATTTGTTCCTTACAGCTGCTGTACTTGTTCTGAAAGTTTTTTAATGAAATGCTGAGCAAGTGACACATCGTCATTTATTAGGTAAAAAAAATCTATTTAAATAGTAACGGATCTTGGTGATCTAACATGTGATTCGCATGTACTTGTGTGTAGGTCTGACATAATGTCTTTCTCATATAATGATATCACATAAAAGGCTTAGTGCAACTTTGAAAAAAAAAAGGAAAGAAAAAACATGGTCTTTTAGTCTCTGTGTATGGGTATGAAGTAGAAAGGCACTTGACTACTACCATGGCATCACACTGAATTTAGAAAGAAATAAACTTACAGATTAAACCATTGTGTGCCAGCTTATACAATTTACTTGTCTACATGCTTAAGTACCTTTTATTTTATTGCTTTAATTTTACTGCATCATAAAGAAAAGTATTATACAAGGTTAACCACAGTTATGTTGTATGCAATGCAGTATGCAATGCATAGATTGTGAATCCCATTATTGAAGTTATAATTAAAAGGGTAATGCAGAATAAAAATACTGAAGAAAAATCTTCAGTGTGTTGATAATTTTTCATAACTTTTACAGGGTTCCAATCTTTTCTTTGGATGTTTAGCTAAAATGGTTTTTCAGTTCAGAGATGGGAACACCAGTTACAATGTGACCTGTATTCTGGACTCATGAATCCTAAGGGCAGCAGGCAACCCTGCTTTTGATGGATGGTGACAGAATGAAGGTCCACATTTGTTTGTAATAAGCTTGATTTTTTTCCCCCATTTAACCTTTCTTCAGTAGCATGGTATGCCTTGCACAAGGCCATGTATGGGGAAAGTGCAACTTTGGGTCACTTAGTGTTTTGGCCTTATTTTTGTCCTTTTGGAAACAATTTTTTTAGGTTTTAAATTTAATATAGACTAACACCAAGTTGGGAATTTGGTGAATATTTGCAAACACTATTGTTGTCTGATGGAAAACTTACATGAGATGACTGAAAGATATGTCTCGACAGAATATAAACTATATACAAATCCTTTAAAGAAAAGATCAACAGTTGAAAGATTAGTGACTTCAGTTGACTGAAATGTCACAATTTTTGTACTTTGCCTCTGCAAAAAGTGCAGTTGAATGTCTTGGTTCTTTCTTAATATTGTTTACGGCTGTGACCAGATTTCTGAAGCTTGAAGGAAATTGCTCTCATTTCCTCTGAGACTTACACAAAAACTACTGAACTGGAAAATGCTTCTTGACTCCAACTTTCTTTCAAATCCATGGGAGGGTGGGGGATTTGATAATTTTTTTTCCTCTTTCATTTAAGGATTTCAGGAGGATCCAGCTGTTTTAAGATCCGCTTTTAAAAATTGTGACTGGCTACTGGATGATTTGCTTGTCTAATAAAAATGAAAGGCTTGGCTGTGAAAATATGTCTCCAAGATGCTCAATTTAATGTGTAACTTGAAGCTCATTGCACCCCAGTGGCAGTGAGCTAATTTGTCTGCGCTTTGCCAAGTTAAAGTGACTGAGTTGGCTGGGCCTAGTTTTTCATAGGTTTTTTACTGCCTCTTCCAAATTTCAGCTGCCTGTTTGAAGAGAGTCTGCTGGCCCATCTTCACATATAGATGTTAATTTCAAATTGACTTATCGTACTAACTTGTGAACTTGTAAATGGCTGAAATAAATGATATTTAAAGCACAACATGTAAATATATATATAACCCCATTTTGACAAGGTTGAAAAATCTTTTAACTTGTGCTCATTTAAGCATGTGGAACTCACCAAATAAAACAGCCTTATAAATTCATATTGAATTTTTGACATATTTAGAAAAGCAAGCAGATTTATGGAGAGACATGCACACTCTTAAAACAAAGTACTTTGATGAAATTGAAGAAGCAGAACTCTTTAGTGGCATTTCAGTATTGAGTGTGCCGGACAGAAATTATTCCCATTTTAGTGTATGTAACATACTTGCATGCACATGTACGCGTGCACCCACATGATGCGCATGCACACACACATGCGTGCGCGCACACACACATTACAGCAAACTCCTTTTATAAAACTCAGAATGCAGAACTCTAACTCTTAAGTCATACTCTTCTCCATTGTATCCCACATTCCCCAGTAGCACATTGTCCACAAGGACACGGCCTGTCTGTATTCAACTTGAACTCAAATGAAATCAGTCAGTTTATGAATTTAGGTGTAAGGTACAAGGAGAACAGTGTACTAATATAGCAGGAGACATGGTTAAATACTAATTATCACAGCAGCAGCCTACAGGACATGTCCAATAACTTTCCTCAGGGGACCTTGTCCTGGCGTGACTTTCTTTTTCTTCTTTCCCTCTCATTTTATATTACTATTTTAGTAAAACCTTCTGCTGCACACTTTTTTGTTGACTTTTTTCTTCTTAAATGATAATTTTAACCAATGTAATTATATTTCTACATATTGATCGATGTATTTCATGTTATTGTACAAACAAAGCACCAACATAGGATACATTGTTAGTTAATTTATGTCAGCTTTATTAAAGCTTGATATCAAAGCAGACTGTGGGAAGGATTTGTAATCATAGACAGCAGGCCCATAGCCAGCAATTTCAGAGGGGGAGGGGGGAGTGTTTGTTTTCTGATTTCTCTGAATACACTTTAACAAGAATCCCCAAAAGAGTTGGATAGATCAAGCTGATAC